AAATAGAGTATTTTAGCTGCATTTAACCATACCTTTGGTTGCTGCACTGCTGGCCATATTCCCCAGGGTTATTTTTAGACTGCTCACCTTAGCTCCCTATTCTTTCCTTGGTCACCTGGAAATGTTTTACACTTGGTTGATAAGATAGTAATATAGAAAATGATCTCACGATTAGGTGAAAATGTTATCCCAGTTTCTGCTGGGAGTTGTAGTTTAATTTAAAACAGGCTCTTACAAAAGTAACCGACCTGATACACAGCAGTTTTGTCCTGATACACAGCACAATTAGCATGACCCAACTTTCAAAACAGAAAACCTGGACTGCTCTAAATATAGTCAAAGGGGATGAGGTGTAGAAGGATTTGGTAGTTAAGAGACGCCTTCAAGAAGGACAAGAGGATTTGGCAGTAATTGTCTCCAATCAGAGCAGGCTGTTCATAACATTCTCCTCCTCTCCTGACCCTCCACTGGCTTTTCAGCAACATTTCCCCAATGCTTTAGATTAAGATCCTTATTTCTTTCCCCCAATATCCTTACTCTCCCTCAGGAGATGAATTTTGGTCCCAGCTGCCTTTTTCTAGGACTCTGGCACCTATCAAATGATTTACTGCATGCTCTGACATGCAGTAAAATCTTGAACACTTCAGATTCCAGGCTCTCACACTGGCACGCTCTGGGCTATGAGGAACCCCAGACTCCAAAACATGTCAGAATATATAACAATTCAATAGGGAGACTCCATGCTGAGGCCAGTTGCAGATGGGCCTAAGGTTCGTCTTGGCACCAGCAGTTTTAGTGGGGTGGCAGAATGCCAGGAAGCAGGGGTGGTCAGCCGGCTGGCTTGCTGTACTGGAACCAGGGCATAAAATAATTAGCATACACAACCTGCAAAATCAGTCTGCCTAGTCACCTTACACACACCCTCATAGGCCATATGTTTAGAAAAGAAACATGGAAGTTTGCCTGTACATTTTCACAGGAAATATACCACATTCTGGCTGAGATGCAAACTGATAAAACTGCTGTGGAAAGGGAGACATGCCCTTCCCTACCCTACTCAGGTTTCAGAGTAACAGCCGTGTTAGTCTGTATTTGCAAAAAGAAAAGGAGTACTTGTGGCACCTTAGAGACTAACCAATTTATTTGAGCATGAGCTTTCGTGAGCTACACCTCACTTCATCGGATGCATACCGTGGAAACTGCAGAAGACATTATATACACACAGAGACCATGAAACAGTACCTCCTCCCGCCCCACTGTCCTCCTGGTAATAGCTTATCTAAAGTGATCATCAAGTTGGGCCATTTCCAGCACAAATCCAGGTTTTCTCACCCTCCGCCTCCCCCGCCCCCCCCCCACAAACTCACTCTCCTGCTGGTAATAGCTTATCCAAAGTGACCACTCTCCCTACAATGTGCATGATAATCAAGGTGGGCCATTTCCAGCACAAATCCAGGTTTTCTCACCCTCCCACCCCCATACACACACAAACTCACTCTCCTGCTGGTAATAGCTTATCTAAAGTGATCATCAAGTTGGGCCATTTCCAGCACAAATCCAGGTTTTCTCACCCTCCGCCCGCCCCCCCCCCACACAAACTCACTCTCCTGCTGGTAATAGCCCATCCAAAGTGACCACTCTCTTCACAATGTGTATGATAATCAAGGTGGGCCATTTCCTGCACCATTTACAACGCACACTTTGCTTCTCTACAAAAGAAAAAGGACACAAGGGGCCACAGCAATGGTTCCCTCAACCCACCCAGCAATATTGTTAACCTATCCAACTATACTCTCAGCCCAGCAGAAGCAGCTGTCCTATCTCGGGGCCTCTCCTTCTGCCCCTCCACCCCCACGAACATGATACAGTTCTGTGGTGACCTAGAATCCTATTTTCGACGTCTTTGACTCAAGGAATACTTCCAACACACCTCTGAACAACATACTAATCCACAGAGACCTCCCTACCAACACTAAAAAAAGAAGGATTCTAGGTGGACTCCTCCTGAAGGTCAAAACAGCAGACTGGGCTTCTACATAGAGTGCTTCCGCCGACATGCACGGGCTGAAATTGTGGAAAAGCAGCATCACTTGCCCCATAACCTCAGCTGTGCGGAACACAATGCCATCCACAGCCCCAGAAACAACTCTGACATCATAATCAAAAAGGCTGACAAAGGAGGTGCTGTTGTCATCATGAATAGGTCGGAATATGAACAAGAGGCTGCTCGGCAGCTCTCCAGCACCACTTTCTACAAGCCATTACCCTCTGATCCCACTGAGAGTTACCAAAAGCAACTACAGCATTTGCTCAAGAAACTTCCTGAAAAAGCACAAGATCAAATCCACACAGACACACCCCTGGAACCCCGACCTGGGATATTCTATCTACTACCCAAGATCCATAAACCTGGAAATCCTGGGCGCCACATCATCTCAGGCATTGGCACCCTGACAGCAGGATTGTCTGGCTATGTAGACTCCCTCATCAGGCTACCAGCACTCCCAGCTACCTTCGAGACACCACTGACTTCCTGAGGAAACTTCAATCCATCGGCGATCTTCCTGATAACACCATCCTGGCCACTATGGATGTAGAAGCCCTCTACACCAACATTCCACACGAAGATGGACTACAAGCCGTCAAGAACACTATCCCCGATAATGTCACGGCTAACCTGGTGGCTGAACTTTGTGACTTTGTCCTTACCCATAACTATTTTACATTTGGGGACAACGTATACCTTCAGATCAGTGGCACTGCTATGGGTATACTCCTTTTCTTCTTCCCAACTCAGAGTTCAGACAAAACAAAGCAACATTTCACCCTTAACTGCTTGTTTCCCAAGCTGTCATTCATGGCCACACAGACCTGAAGAAGAACTCTGGGTAGCTCAAAAGCTAGTCTCTTCTACCCCCGGCAATTGTACAATAAAAGATATTACCTAATTCACCTTCTCTCTTCCAATACTATTATTATTTAACTGATAAATTATGGAGTCTCCTTTATGGGATTCTCAGGAAACGAAAAGCACTCTCAATTTAGTTTTTGTATCAATCTACCCTTAGCACTCACACAAAATATAAACTGCCCAACTCGACAGTTGGCTTCAGTTTCATTAGTGGTTTTTTAAGACTATATAAACAAGAAGACAGAAGCGTGAATAGGTGGTACATGCCAACAGGATGCTAATATTAAAACAAACTCTTCTTTAAGATTTATGGACAGCAGTTAAAACTTTACCAATGTAAACTTTACGCAGTAAACAATTTATAATCACTTAGAATTTGATTATCTAAATATTGCTTTCTATCTTGAGAAAATATTAGATCTGGCAATTTTCAGAATTCCTATTAAAAAGGTTTGATTCTTGTCCTTCAATAAACAGCACATGTATCTCAGAAAAATCAGTCATGGTGCTTACTAAATTAGGGCAAATCAGCTTTCAAAGGATCAATTTTATAAAAAGCTCATTTGTAGGAGTTCCAACAAATGTGAACTTATTAAAAATATATTAAGACAACTTATGTAAACCTAAAAAAATTTGTCTAGCAGTTTAGATTAAGGTAATTCTTTTATATTGACACACAAAGAGAATATAAAAATATGCACCAAAAGGTACCAATCACAAGGCTGTTGGAGGGTTTTAGTTACATGTACTAGTAGCTATTTAAGCTTTGATTTTGTGGTTTATAGTATTGTTGGAAACCCTGGATGAAGTTACAAATTTTGAACGATTTCACTTCTACTATGTAGTCCTGCAGGGACAAACAAACAAAAAACACCCAACCTTGACATCATTTCAGTGATTTTTTTCCACTTACATTAAAATGTGGGATTTTTCCATGGGAAAGACCTATTAAAATTGGGGCCTTATCATGGAAAAATAAGGTTGGGTGGCAACCCTAAATATAAGCAGGTAGTTTATATTCTCTTAGTTGAGTTTAGAGATAGGAATTGCCACAATGGATTAGAGCAGTGGGGTCCATTTACACCAGTATCCTGTCTCTGACACTTGCTAGTACTAGAAGCTTCAGAGGAAGAGGTAAGAAACCCCACAATGGAATACCCCTAGGGAAAGTTTTTCTTCCGAACACTGTCAGTTGGGGGCTGGGCTTATGCTCTGAAGAATGAGTCTTTGCCATCCTGAACTGGAAGCAGCAGCAGTGCCAGGATGCAGAGAGGAGGCTTGGAGTGCTCCAGGTGTCCACACTGCACTTGCCATGGCAAGAGAGAGGCGATGCTCACTTGCCTAGCCTGATGTGTGGGCTGGCTAGCTGGGCAGGCTCAATGCTTGCCCCGAGAAAGCCATATGGGCAGAGGCACTAGAGATGTCCGGAGCCACTGCCCAGTGGCCAAGATCCCTGGAGGAGTGCTTCTAGGACTGGCCACCCCAGTGCTGCAGGAAGGAGCTTTGGTGGAGTGTGATGTATCAAATAGAATCTGCACCCAGCAGTACCACTGCTGGAGCCTCCCACAGGATAAGCAGAGTGTGGGGTTGGGGTGAGGGATCCAGGGTTCCCGAGCCCAAAGTCCAGCACAATGGGGATAGGAAGCCATGGGCTGGGTGGAGACAGCATTGTCAGGTAGATGCTTTCAACCCTACCCAAACCCAATGGGACCCACCTTACAACAAGTGTCAAATTCAGGTCATTATGAAACAACTCAACGAGCTAGGGTTAGGCTCAGATTTGCTGTGGTCTAGTTGGGCTTTAAAATTAGGCCCTAGCAGACTTCTAGCTCCTTAAACATGACAAATAAATCCTTGTGGCCTTTACGATCAGTTTCTACTTGAAGCTGAACTAGTTAAAAATGGCTGGGGAAGGGAAAGTAGAGTCTAATTGGAGTACTTTCTATTTAGAAGCAAGGCAAAACACATTACCCTAGATCAGAGATGACCTTAAAGTGCACCTCTTTTGTAAGACTTTAACTAGATAGCCTCTTACTTTAGCCAAAAGAATGAATTCTGCCCCAATTACAAAGGCACTGAGGGTACTGACCACAGTCCTGGGACAGCAGACTGTTCAAGTATGGGAAACTGATCTTCTCTAGTTCATCCAGCTTCTCCTTCAGCTTCTTGACTTGGCTGTCAGAACGGCTGATTCTCTGCCTCAACAGCTTCAGCTCTCCATTCTTTTTCTCCACCTGCTCCCGTAAGCAGCACACTTCGTTTTTGCTTTGCCTAGAGGAGAAACAGTATGAATGGAGGGAGTCAATGAGCTTGCAAGCTCCTGAGGCTGAGATGATGACCTCATTGATTGACATGGGGTTGGCATCTGTCTCTCCCTTCTGACCTACCACAGCCTCTGTTGCTGGCTGAGGGGTAAGGTCTGCAGGGGATGCTGACAAACTTTGGGAAGGTTTCTGAGGGGTTGCAGTAAGTGATGAATTAGGGGAGCTTTCTGCTAAGGTCTTATTGTGCCCCATGATGTTGCTACTGCAGCTTGGTTCCACATCTCTCTTTGGCCTTTTCTTCTCAAGTTGCTCTTTTGGGAAAGATGGCTTCTCTCTGGTGTGCTTAGAGGAAAAGCTGTAAGAGTGGAGGGAGCCAATAAATTTGCAAGCCCCAGATACTGGAGGTGTGAAGTCATCAATTGATATACCACTTCTATCTGTTATCCAGCTCTCAGTATGGACTGTGCTTCCAGGACAATCATCCACAGATGGTCTTTCTGGCTTTTTCTGGAGTCCTGTCTTTGTGACTAAATTATCAACTAACATCCTTCTCAGAGGCCCTTCCAACTGGCCACAGACATTCTCTTCTTGCTCAGACATTGACCCAATTTCAGTTTGCAGAGTCACCTGCTCCATCTCTTTAGTCCCTTGCATTATCATAAAGTCTTGGCCAAAATATGAGGTTCTCTCAACTACCTCACAGCCTCCTTCCCTTGGTTGATCTCCATCCCTCGCAGGTATTTGGCTTGCTATTTTAATTCTACTTTTGACATAATCCTGGTTGTCGTCTTTCTTCTCTGTGAGCTGGAAGATAGTTGGCACAGCTGTCGGCTTGAGTAGCCGATGCTGATCTTCCAGCCGTTTGGAGAAACTATCTTTGGTGAAATGCTCACTGCAGAGAAAGGAGTACTTGGTGGGAGTCCAGTTGTCCCTTTGAACTGCTTTTAACCACTGGATCAGACGTTTTGAGTCCTTTAGAGGGAATCTGCAAACAAGAAGCATAAAAAGGGTAAAATAAATGGATATTTCTATAATCAAAGAAGTTCAGTGTTAGCAGACCATAAGTTTTGGAAACCAAAATTATCTAGAAAGCAGTATAGTACTGGTTATGCCTGGTTGATGATTGATTATTGAAAGTTTCAGCGGAATGCTAAATATTCATTTCCTTGGCTGGCAGTTAAATTCCCCTGAGAGGACATAACCAGTTAGCTTTGTGCTACTGTCTATTAAAATCAGCTAGCAAGCAACTGACCACTTCACTATGTATTTATACCAGTCAGACACCATGACTCTCCTTGTAAGTGAAGAAAGACAAGATGTGAATAATGAAACCCTCTGCCCCGAACAACAATCTAATCCATCTACAGTCTTCAGGAACTGACTGGTGTTTACACTGAGTAATGAAGGAATATTAAACAAGATATAAAACATCCTACATTCAGGCCTCAATGCCAAGAAATCATAACATTTACACACACTGTATTTCTTATAGTTGACACAAATGCTTGTTTTAGACTGTTAACGGCACCTATCCAGAAAAAACAAACACATAGCCAGAGACTTCACACACAATCATTTTCATAGAGGAATTCAGTAGATTTTCATATCTCATGAGGGAAGAAAAATTAAACTAGGCATACAAGATACAGTTTGAAATGGGCTCGCAAAAGGCATCTTAATTTTGAATTTTTGCTTAGCATTACCAATGCTAAGGTTACATTTGGATCTAGGCAGATGGATCCCCGCACCTACACAGAGACCATGGGCTGCATGCAGGTACAGGTGTCTGCCTGCATAGTTCCATTTGCATGTTTGCGACTTTGGACCATATGGCCCACTAGTTTAAGAGAGCATCTGAGGTGAATGTGTTCAGGCAGGAATACCAATATTACTCAAACCAGCTATGATTACTCAGCAACCTTACAAACCAAAAATAATCAGAAGAACTTTCTGAAATTTCAGAAGATGGCAAAACAAATCACAAAATTCATACAATGAAGCATAATGGATACAAAGATTATTAACAGCTTTGCATAATAAAAAAAGACAGCTTACTGTATTTGCAGATTTTAAGTAAGAGACATACAGAACAGAATCAGCATAGTTAGTATTACTATGTTAGTATTACTTATTTCGTGCACAGGAAACATGATTACCTCAATTTCATTACAAACAAGCGTTGTATATAATTTGCTCTTGAGTTGTCTTCAGTTTCTAACTACAAGAGGAAAGCAATATTTTTATCCTGGGTTTTTTGGAAGAGAAAAAGACTACTACTACAGAACATTTCTTTAATGGAGTTTCTCTTGGATGCCACCTGCAGTAATAGAATACATCCCAGAAAGAAAGCGGTTTGCATGTAACTCATGGAACCTCTTTCCCTACTGTTCATTCTGGGCCAAGCTGTCTTATTGTTCAGCAAAGGCATAAGAGGAGGGCAAGATTGTGTGCATCCCACATCACCAGCATGAGGGTACATGATGACAAAACTATTACACGTACTAGCTGAGATATGCAGTGGGAGAAATGTGCGTGTGTACAGTCCTTAATGCCAGCCTTGGGCTGTAACAAGACTAAGCTGCAGTTTCAGTAGCCAGTGGAGACCTCGGAGGGGGTGAAATCCAAGCGTGTGTGTTCCTCATCAATAGCATAAGCAGAGTTACTATGGGCAGGTCTACACTAGAAACTTTTGCTAGAATAGCAATGTGAGAGATGGGTGTGATTTTTTTTTTTTTACAACATTTTTATACCAAGAGAAGCCCTAATGTAGACATAATTATATCAGCAAAAAAAATGCTTTTGTCGGTATAACTTATACCAGCTCCCTGAACAAAATAAACTATACCAGTAAAAGCATCCTTGACAGTATAAGCTGCATCTTAACTAGGAGAGTTTGCCAGTGTAGTTATACCAGCAAAGTTTTTATAATGTAGACTGGACATACATCTAGGGGGAGACCTGCAGGGAAGAAAACACATTGGAGAGTGGGAAGGGAATGCATTTTAGGTCTTGTTTATATTAGGAAATGTTATTGTGTTTAATCATGATTTTTAACAACACAGTTAGCCAACATAGACTGACCAGTGCTTTGCGGTCAGTGCAGACAACTCATGTTCAACAAGATGTTAGCTAGACTTCATGATTACTATGTCATCATATCAAACATGGTATGTCTTTGTCTATCCTGACCACAGTCATGGTCAGTTAACTCAACTGTTAAAAATGATTAAATGCTTGCTTAAACACCACACTTTCTAATGTAGACAAGGCCAAAGGGGTAAAGAGTGAAAACATAAGGACCGTGGGGAAGGGAAGCATGCATCCCTCATTCATCAACAGCCTAAGAACATAACAGTTGGGATGTCTGGTATAGGAAAATCTGCTGGGGTGGGGATATTGGGAAGTGTGGAGAAGGAAAAAAGTAGATTGCAGGGGGGTGAAGTAGGGAAGGGAGATGTAAGAGACAGAGATGCATGTTCTGTCCCCCATATCAACAACTTTAAGTGCACAGCAGAATTAAGCAGCTATACTGGCTGGTAGCAGATATTGGGGTGCAATGTGTGTCAGGGAATCATGGCCCTAAAGGTACAGCAAGATTAAACACTTATATGCTGTACAGTTAGAGATTTGTCGAGGTGCAGGATATACATGGGCTGGGGCAGGAGAGAAAGGGGAGGATAAAATTTGTGCAGCTGACAGGACAGGAAGAAACATGAGAGTCCCTCATCAAACATCTAAGAATGTAGCAGGACTAAACAGCTACACTGGTCAGTGGGAAACCTGCAAAGAGTGGAAGGCAGGGATAGGTGAGTACTTGGCAGTCTGAGGAGGGGAAAATGAGAAGGTGTATGTGCATCTGGGGATAGCTGTGACTTTCCATCTTAGGAGGATGGAGGACAGATGCAGCTCTGTGTATTTCTGTTGGATGGATAGGACAGGAGTTTGGCATGTCTAACTTCCTGTCTGGTTGGGGACAAAGAAACGGGGCATCTGTCTAGTGGAGGAGAAAGGTGTGAGTCTGTCTATCTGTGTGAGGGTAGGGGTGAATGTGTGTCTGTGTGCAGGGGCCAGGACGGAATGGAGGTAGGTACATTTGTCTCTGTCCATGACAATGGAGAGGTAGAGGTGTGCGTGTTGGGGGCGGGGGGAGGGAGGCAGGGGTGTACCCAGAGGTAAGTGTAAGTGTGTCAGATTGTGGGAGATACATGTGTTCCTGTTAGGGAGTAGATGAACCTGTCTGTGTGTGAGGGGGGAGCGACAAGTGCACACCAGGTGTAGCTCTGCAAGGGGAGAGGAGGTAGGTGAGTGTCTGTCTGGAGGGGGGGCACAGAGAGTGTTTCGGGGGAGTGGGGAGGTGTTTGTCAAAGTGTGGCAGTAGGAAGGGACGAGAGGGGTGTGTGGAGGGGGAAAGGGAAGAAAGCGGATAGCTGCCTGTCCGGGGGGTGGGTGGGTAGATGGCTTTACCTGTGAAGGATAAGCAGGTGTGTGTCTGTCAGTCTGTGAAGGCAGATGTGGGTAGATGTCTGTCTGCCGGGGAGATCTCTCAAGTTGGGACCAGAAAGGGGATCAGTGTCTGTCTGTCGTCGGGGGCGGGCGATGAGTTAATGTCTGTCTGTCGGGGGGATGAGTCGGTGTCTGTCTGTACAGTCTGTCACTCAGTCAAGGGGTGGGGGAGAGGTCCGGGAAGGGGCGGCTCTGTGCCCCGCAATTCCAGCGGGAGCCGGGCTTGGCGGTCGGGGCGGGGGTACTGGGCCGGCTGAAGCGGCCGCTGTTACCTGTGGAAGGAGACGGCTCCTCTATGCACCTTCCCCTGCCGGTTAGAGCAATTCACCGCCGCGCAGCAGATCACCATCTCCGGCCGGTTGGCCCTTCCCCCCACTCCCCTCACCCCTCCCAACACAGGGGCCGAGGCCAGCCGTACAACAAGATGGCGGAGCCAGGTCACGTCAGCTGCCCCCCTTCCCTGGAACAGGGGTTTCAGTACGATGGTGCCGTCAACAAAGATGGCGACCACCATAAGGCCGCCGCCATTTTGGTAGAGGCACCGCCGTACACCACTATCTCCGCAGAGGAGAACTTCCTAGTACCCCTCTCTGTGCCCTCACTGGGTCTTTCTTTGAGGCGAGGGTTGGGCTTGTGGGGAGCGGATAGGAATGGGAGAATCGAGGGGTTCAAATGAAGCTCAACTGAGGCAGCCATGTTGGAAACAGGGGGCGGGGTTTTGCTGACCGTACTACACGATGGCGGCGCCCACGTATCACACCTGCTCAGGGTAGGTAGGGGTGGGGTTGCGCATAGGGCTGAGATCCGGTAATGGGCAAAGCATTTAAAGATCATTCCCTGCTCATTCCCCAACACTGGCTTCAGCCTGGTACCATATGACTCCACCTCACCTGAATTCTTCGTTCCGTACAGCAAAATGGCGGCCCCTCTATGGATGAGGAAGCCGTGCGGCGCAGCTGAACGCGGCGAGCTCCCCTCTCGACCTATCCCGACTGAGAAGCGCTGTGAGCCGCTCTCTGATTGGACGCGCTGGGCTCCTCGTCAGGAGCGGACGGGCTACGCTGCGGCCTGTGTGGGTATGTGGAGGAGGCAGTAGCTGCAGCCTACTTGGTCCTGGGGCTGGTTAGAGGCAGGAGTCACAGGATGGACGCAGGTGAGCGGCGGCGGGACCCCTGCCAGAGCTCTGGGCCGGCCCCGCCCCGCCGCTCGGCGTGTCGGGCTGGCTGTGTCCCTGCTTCCCTGAGCGCCGGTGTTCTCCCCTAACCCGCCACGGGGAAGTAAAGGTGGTGGTGTGTGTGGGAGGGAGGCCCTAGGGTGGGGTGTAGGCTGGTCAATCTCCCTTGATGGTTCCCTTGGTAGGGGTTGAGGGGAAGGTCGTGTAGGGATCTATGGGGTGGCTGGGAATCACCAAGGCAGGAGGTGGGGGTAGTAGGGTGTGGAGGTGTGAGCTGGGGATCCCCAAGGCAGGGGTTAAGAGCTTGGGATCCCCAAGGTAGGGGATGTGCAGGTGGGGTCCCATACTGCGGTCCATTGTTCATTCAGGGCTAGTTGATCCCATCGTGATGCTTTCTCACATCTTGCTGCTAACTCACATTGAAAGTTAAAAATACTCTAGGTCATACACTTTACTTCTCTTCTATATAGGTTCTTATACCACACTTATCAATGTAGTAGCTGTAGACCAAGCTTACTACACACAGTAAGAGGCTCTTTGCATTACTACTTTCTCTCCTATAAGAGAGTGCCTGTGTTTCATCCTCCCATCCACCTTTATTTCAGGGACTCCCTGTAACCTGATCCCTTCCCCATGCCAGGGGTTCTCTGTGACCCCCATTCCAACATGTCAGGGTTTCTGTGTGTACCCTCCTTTTCCAGGTCTCCCTGTTTTCTTTCTCACAACGTCAATATTTTAAGCTCAGTGGAGACATGGGCAAAGCTAAAATGAGGGCTACTGTTATGCTAGAATGTGTTCATCTCTGCTATCAACCTTGTATGCTCATGTGGGGAGAGATGTCCACAGGACAGTCTCTATTAAAATATGGTCCATGTTATGAAAAAGTTCTGCAGAACTTGGCATAGGATGTGTCCGGCATGATATGTATAAGATACCCCCTCAACCATGCACGCTCCCTGTGGCAATTAGAGGAAGGGGTGTGGCTTGCATTAGGAAGGTCACAAGATTTTCTCTTAAAGTGATGAAGAAAATGTAACTGTAGGAGAAAGACAGGAGGGATAGCATGTTGTCATGTAGCACCCTGATAACAAATCAGCAATGGACACTGTTACAACTTCAAAAAAAAACAATGAGTACTTGTGGTACCTTAGAGACTAACAAATTTATTTGGGCATAAGCTTTTGTGGGCTAAAACCCACTTCATCGGATGTATGCAGTGGATAATAGCCCACCTTAATTAATTGGTCTCATTACAGTTGTTATGGCAACACCCATTTTTTCATGTTCTCTGTGTATATATGTCTTCCTATTGTATTTTCCACTGCATGCATCCGATGAAATGGGTTTTAGCCCACGAAAGCTTATGCCCAAATAAATGTTAGTCTCTAAGGTGCCAGAAGTACTCCTCAGTTTTTTGGTGATACAGGCTACCACTCTGAAACCTGCTACAACTTCAAACACACTGCAGATCCTTGATACGTTGTCTGTTTCTGACAGAGTCCTAAGGTTTGGCTTTTATATGTGGCAACACTTACATAACTTTTTATGCCAACAAAGTGCCTTGAATTAAAACAGAACACTGTCCTCCTCCACAACCCCACGTTGTACATGGCAGTTTGGGAAAGGCTGAGTGTATGCATGGAGTGGGAATAGTCTGCTCCTGTTAGGAATGGTTCAGCATTTGAAATTAACTTGGTCAATCATCAGTACCACTCCCTGGAAGCAGCATTTCTTGTTCCACAGGACACCCTTCTTTCTTCTGCAGCTTGGGGTGTGTGTGTGTGTGTGTGGCCTGATGCATGCCATAGAGTATACTAGCTTACAGACTTCAGAAAAGTTTCCTCCTTCCAATTTTCTCTAGTTTCTTTTGTAATTGGGATAACGGAAAAGGGCACCTCACTGCTTCAGTGATGCTGGCTTGACTGCCCTGGATGTGGAAATTCACTGTATAGCAAGAGCAATTGGCTATACAGTCTTTCTCTGCTGTCCTGGTACTATTTTTGCAGCCCTGTTGTGGAGATACCACTTCCAGAGTGAAATGGTTGGTTGCTCTCCATGACTGTTCATTTCTTGCCTTCTCTGCTCAGAATGCCAACAAGGAAGACAATTAAGGCCAATTGCAGTAGTGGTTTTTGATATGGACAAGTATCCATTAGGAAATGGACTAACTCTTTGCAAAGAATCATCTGACCGTCATGGTAGGGTGGTAATTTTGATCCCTTCTTTTTAAGGCCACATGTAAGCCACTGACCCATTGGTGAAGGACTCCATATCCAACTCTGATTAATACTCTCCTGACATTCAGCCTCTGCTTATTTTCCACCTTGGACCCAGAACTCCTGTGCTCCAGGGCTTCTGCCACCTTTATTTTTCTTCCTCAGTGCTAGTAGTATTACAACCAGAGTTCTACAGCTGTGGGTATCAAACTGGCTTCCAGTCAGGCTCCCTGACCAGTGCATCATTGCACATAAAATCACAATATTTGGTTGCATTTAGCCTAGTGTGCCTGTTGACTGGAAACCAGATGAATTCACTGAATTTTTCCACTGAATGCATCCGATGAAGTGAGCTGTAGCTCATGAAAGCTTATGCTCAAATAAATGTGTTAGTCTCTAAGGTGCCACAAGTACTCCTTTTCTTTTTGCAAATACAGACTAACACGGCTGCTACTCTGAAATGTTCATGTATGTTTTCCCATTCTTCTCATACTCTCAAATAGCAGAACTGTTTTGTTCAAATGTAATATTTGCCTTTGGGTGTATACCAGGTCTGGAGAATTTCAGCCCAATGGGTGGAACTTTTGGGAAGTTATGATCACCTGAAAATGGGGTTTATAGTGAAAATGCTCTGGTAACCTTAAATATACCTGGAGCGCTAGCGTGCCCATTATGATGTGCCATGTGCCATAATTATACTCACTAAGAATCATAACTTTGACTGTCTTGACTCTTTTGCATGTAAATTCTTGACTGTGCTGTTGAATGGATGTCATGTCTCACATTTGATTACCTGTGTTTTCTTTCTTAATAAGCAAGAGACGTGCTGGTGTATCTGACTGACATCTGTTGAGTGTGCAGTCTGAGGTTCCAATTGTGTAGCTGGATCTCCATGGGTGAACCCCTGCATCTTCAGAGAGCCCAGTTGGGGCTCCATGCCAATGTAGGGAACTGTGCATAGATCCAGTTGCGGGAGTGGGGCCTTGGAGCTCTCATCCTCGGCGTGCATAGTGACTGTGTTCAGATCAAATTTTGTGTGCTCTGAGGCTTTGGATTCCCTGAGCACACTGAGTTCTGTAGTGTGCAGCTTGGGAATCCAGTAGACCTGCTTAGCCTCTTCCCATGGCAGCTTTCATTGAATCAGAGCAGGCCCAGCAGGTCCCTCACTCACCAGTCTGCCAGCTTCAAATCACGTGGCCCTTGTAGAATAGAAAGTTGCAGAACATGTGAAATTTGAATTGAATGTTGATTGGAAATTCAATTAAGTGTGGGGGCAAAAGGGAGAGGGATGACTTTCCAGGGTGCAGGTTGGTTCCAGAGCAGCCCTGAGTAAGAAGGACCCTCTAGGCAAAGTTTAACTTGGCCATCTGAACCAGCTAGCATGCAGTGTTCGAGATATATGGGAAGTGGTGTATATTGCTGACTGAAAGGGGGACAAAGTGGAGAGTCATGTATTATGTAAATGCAGTCCCCGTCTTTCCAATTTACTTAAACAAGTATTTTCACTGTGTTTTAATCCATGGCAAGTTTGAAAATCTAAAAATAAGCCATCTTTGAGTAATGAGCTCTAAAACTTGTCTGAAAAGTGTTTTAAAATAAAAAAATGTTAAGACTATCTCAAGCGACCGCACAGAGTTATGCGAAACTTAATAATAAATCCACCTTTGGGTGGCAAATAAGCCTGTGAATCGGGGGGGATGGGGGAGCCAGGGGAGAAGGTTATTTTTGACTCAAAAATACAGGCTTATGAAAATACCATCTGTCAGAAATAGTACCAAACACACAAGGACTTCATGCTATCAATGCTTGTCTGTCTACACAATTATCAATTGGTTGTAGTAAGGAGAAGGTGAAAGAAGATAAACCAAAGTGTGGACTGTTGGTGGTTCCTGAAAATCTGCCTTGTTACATGGGTCTGGCTCTAATCCTGGCTGCTACATCATATTAATATTTTCCTATGTAAAGAATTGCTGTGCTTGCAGGGGAGATGTAGCCAATGGGAAGAGGAGACCATTATCTTTATTAAGATGTGGTCCATACTGTGAAAAAGTTTGAGAACTTTGGTACAGGTAATCTACTTGCTTGTCTGTCCAATCAGGTGTTAATTTGGAATTAGTCCCCCATTTATGTTGACAGGGCCCCATTCCTCAAAGAAAACTACAGTTTAACCCAGTGATGGCAGTTTTCTGCTGCTTTTGTTTTCCCTTTGATGCTCAGATCATGCTATTCCCAGTTAGAAAGACCGGGGGGCAGAAGATCTAAGTGAGATCTGTGGGGTCTCATTGACAAAAACATCTTGTTTGTCTTGTTTTTCTGAATGTAATATAGATTAACCTACATGGCTAAAAGGAGGAGTAGAATCTCTTTGTGACCCTCTGTGTGCTAATATATTTTTTTAGCACAAACTGTAGAGGAGTTATTGACCACACCTGTAAAACTGGGATAACACTTAGCAAGGCTGAGGGCTTCTCTACACAGTGGTGTTCACAAATATCTATTATGCTTTAAATTCATAACCTAACTTAATCCAAACTAACCTTCAAGTGTAGGCAAGACCTAAATGCACTGGTGATAGCACCAATTTCTAAGTTCAGGAAAAACTGAATTTATGTATACAGAATTCTACTCATGAAATTAGAATGAAGGACAATGAAATCAGCAGCACAGGTGGTGACTGAGAAATGGCTGCTGAGTCACGCCAGAAAGCTAAGAGGTTACACCCCCAGTTAGAGGGAAATGGAGTGTGCTGTGTGTTGTTCATGTCAGCTGTATCACTGGGTAATGTATTGAATCTTGTGTCAGCTAAAATAGCTGCTGAGAATATTTTGTCTGTATAGCATAACTAAATAAAGCTGTTACAATTCGATGTGTAGCTTGCTCAGGTTTATTCAAGAATAACGTGCAAGTAAAAAGTGATTTGAACTGAATCTGACAGTTTTATTAGGAACGTTTTCCTTGAGCTCATTCCCAAGGCACATAGTGGAGCCCTGTTTCCACTAAAACATTGCGTAGAAGCTTCCAACAGCTTGCCTGTCCACTCCTGTGGAGAGGACCACAGCCCTGATTAGGAACACCTTGCAATAGACTACACTGCTGGATTGTTTTGTAATGCGCAATCAGAGCTGGATACTTATATTAGAAAAGACAGATGTTGAAGTATTGAGCAAGGTCATGTTTTGAAGGAAACTAGTAGAGTGGATCATGTACAAGCCTGCAACCTCTAGATTGGATGCCTCAACATAGCTCCCATTGTTTCCCGTGACTTATTGTGTGACATGCATAAAGAACATCTTGCCTTTTCCCCCACCCTGCAAACTTTTTTTTTTTGAGCAAAGACCTTTGCATGTTTGATTCTAATGAGGGAGCAATTTTTAGAACCCTCAGAAGGGACTGACTGTCTTTGAGAGGGATATTTAGTATCCATGTTAATTTAATCCTAGGCTTCTCACTGCACCACCAAAAAACACTTACTCTGGGAAGAAGGGACTTGTTTGTTAATAACAAACCTGGAAATTCCAGAAGGATATTTAAACCTCCTACTTCAAGGTTTAAACCAATCTCAAATTATTAGAGACCAGGTTGAGACCTATGTTGGGAAGGGGCAGATTATCCCACATCTGCCTGTTGCAGGGTTCTTACACCTCCCTCTGAAGCAGCTGATACTGGCCACTGTCAGAGACAGGGTACTGGACTAGATGGATCTTGGGTCTGATCAAGTTTGGCAATTCCTGTGTTTTGGTTCAATCCTGAGCTTTTCCTCACTGATTTGAATTTTTTCCACAGTTGCTGATTTCATCAAAGCACTGTGGTCTAATGGGTAGAGCATGGGATTGAGACTCAGGAGACCTGCGTTCTGTTCCTGACTCTATTAATAGCCCGACTGGGTGACATTAGGCAACTCATTTCCCCACTCCGTGCCTCAGTTTCCCCATTTGTAAAATGGGAATGATACTGAGCACCTTTATAAAGTGCTTTGAGATCAACTCATGAAATGCATTATATAAGGGTTAGGTGGTATTTATTATTGTGATCAGTAGAGCTCTTATCAGAGCTCAGACCAGCTGCTCAACATGTAGGCATGTTACTATAACATTGGAATTGTGAAGTGATCCGTCCTGTATTACTATATCTTACGTTATTTTAAACCGGGAAAAAAAAAAACCACAATGCATGTGTTTTCTGTTTCTCACCAGCTACTCTGACCTATGATACTCTCAGGTTTGAGTATGAAGACTTCCCTGAGACCAAAGACCCTGTTTGGATACTGGGGAGAACATACAGTGTGTTCACAGGTACTTCACTCACATGCTAGTACTTACACAGTGCTTTTCAGGGCTTGAGGGCTTTACATACATCTAACCATCCCATGTAGTGTTTTGAACTCTTATGTGATTCCCAGCTTTTTCTAAATAGCATCCTGCAGAAGTGTAGCCCCTGCTTGCTAGTGCAGTTGTGTGTTCCCCTGCATGTTGTCAGGATAGCCTTTCCTGCTGCCCTCAGACACTCCTGCTGCATTTTTGGAGAAAATTGTCTTTTTTTTTTTTTTTGGCTACAGGGGTTGTAGAACACCCTCTCCTTCCGCTTTCCTGCCTGGAGATACAGGGTTGTGATGCTTAAAGCTAGGGAAGACTAACACTGGAAAGGAGAGACTGAAGTAGTAAAGACTGTTTCCCCCAAACATGGCCCTGTTTTTTCTTCCCAGGCCTCTCCTGCCCTGTAGGCCGGATCTTTGACTGGCCTTCGTGCAATAGTCCCCTGCTCCTGTCAAGCCAGGCACTTTCATCAGTGAAAGTTATTAAGGGGTGGGATTTAGGTAGGGTTGATGCCTTTCTCAGGGATGTCACATATGTGTGTTTGTTTGTTTCTGAAAATCCTTCAGAGAAGGAGGAGATCCTGTTGGATGTGACCTCTCGGTTTTGGTTCACATACAGAAAGAACTTTCCTGCCATTGGTAAGTAGCACAGATACAGTTAAGAAAATAATTATACTGTAAAGGAGTCTGGCTTGTCTCTTAGGGCCTGACCCAATGGGAGCATTGCCACTGACCTCACTAGGCTTTGGATCTGTACAGGGTGCCATCTCATGAGAAATAAGCATCTGAAGTGCAGTGGATTGGCAGTAAAGTACTGGAGTGCTTTCAGAAAACACCATTTTAAAGAGAGACCTGAACTGTGAACAATGACCTACTGCAGTGCTAACGTAGCTTCCCAAGGCGTGAGGAGAGCACCTGTCAAAGCCACCGCATTTAGCACCTATCCCTGGCCTCTTATTAACATTTGGTTACATCTTGGGCAGTGATGGATGTGGAGGAAGTGTACTACTTTGCCATAAGAGGGAAGTGGAAGGTCCAGTGGTTAGGGTGCTAGCTTGGGACTCAGGAGAAACAGGTTCAATTCCTTGCTCTTCCACAGACTCCCTATGTGTCCTTGGCCATCTCAGCCTCTCTCTGCCTCAGTTCCCTACCTGTACAATGTTGAGAATAGCACTGCCCTGCCTCACCAGGGTGTTGTGAGGATAATTCCATTAAAGACTGAGGTGCTCATATACTCCATTAACAGGGGCCAGATAAACACCACTCTAGGCAATGCCAAATTGGTGTCCTGAGCCCCTTTTGTTAGGCAACCCTGCAGTGTTGCTTTTAAATGGTAATCCAGACTTCCAGAAAGGGCAGGTAGCTAGCATTAATTTTGTAGGTGATTTTTCTGGATAAAATTATCTTAAATCCTTCCAATAACTGAAGCAATTTACTCTTCTTAATAAGCAGGATGGATTTGATTTAAATCTCTAGTCAGGAAGACTCTATTTAATCATGGATTTCTACATAAAAGTGCATTCTTGTTGTTGTTTGATTATTTAATTTACCAAAGGTAATTGAAGTAGTTCACCTCCCAGTGACTTCATAAATATCTATCTCCAATTCAACAGGTTAATCATGAATATTTGGAGGATTTTCTTGCCATGCTGTATTAGGAGGAGAACATCACCAGACAGACATTTAAATTGTTTTATTTAACTAAAACAACAACATTATGTATTCTGGATTTTTTTCTTCAACAGCAAACATAATATTTTAACAAAACAAGCCTATGAATTTTTGAATTTAGTTAAACATTCAAGTTTTTTAAAATTAGGTTTGTTTTTTGTTAAAATTGTTTTTAACTAAAATAGTTAAATCGACTGTCAGCAAGGTCAACATGAGAAATTTAAAATATTGGCTTCTGCAGCTAACTCAGTTGTCTTCACTTTCATTTTCCTGTTTGTTCATAATCTGGAAAAGAAAATCAAGCTTTCCTGCTTTTTCAGGTCCGAAACGATTTCTCAATTTGGAATGAATTAATCCAAGGGAAGAAAATATTCTTTCTACACCAACAGAAGAAGCTAGTGCTGTTAAAAGTGAGATTATCACTTCAGCAGTCTCTGAATCCAAGTGCTTAAGTGACTTCCATCAGTTCACTGGTGTGACTTTCTTTAAAACATCAACAAACATATTTCTTGAATAGTTCATCCTTAGCTCTGAAGTTTATTATAATTGGCATTATGGAGGGATGATTGCTAGATGTCCATGTCATAGCCGTCTCCCCTTCATCAGCAGTTAAGGTTTGACCCTGGTACCGAATATTGAGAATACTTTCAAGAAAACGAGCTGGAGATGGTGCTTGTCCCATTCATTTTTTAATGCTTGTAATTTAATTCTGTCATTGCATATGTCTCTTTAAGATCTCACTCAGTTCCTTCCAAATTTCAACAGCGTCAGCAATAAAACAGCTATTTCCCTGCATTTTGTTCAAGGCTACAGAAATAGGCTTCAGGGTACTCGGCATGTGTTCAACATTTCTGTTAAGCCCAACATTGAGAACTTTGGCTGTGACAGTGCCATCTATTTTTTCCACAAATGGTCATCAGATTAGGCCAGTTCTTGATATAATGCTCAAAACAGTCCACTACTGAGTTCCATCACACATCTTGTGGGAGAGTTAGCTTGGTTCCTCCCACTTTTTTCAGAGCAGCTGCTGCAAAGTGGTTGTTTCGGAAGTATTTTGCAATTTCAACAACATTAGCCTTTATTTCTGGAACACTGAAGTCTTTGGCTAGGAGATGCATCAAATGAGCACTGCAACCGTATGTTGTTAGCTTGGGACTCTCTTCACTCTCTTGTATACATTTGCAACATTGTCTGTGACCAAGCTACATACTAGACATTTGAATTGTTTTTCAGTTTGTTATAGCTTTTACTGCTACTTCCTGTAAGTATTCTGCTGTGTGTGCATTTCCGGATGTATCAATTGTTTCCGTAGGGAAGACATTCCCTTCTTCTTTTGTCACACAAGCACATACAATAGGATCATTGTGGACATTGCTCCACCCATCAAGACTCAGGTTAACAATTTTACCCTCTAGACCTTTTGCACACTGCTCAATTTCTCTTTCGTACACTTTATCCAGCAATTTGCCTGCGACATCTATTCTGTTGGGTGGACTGTATTGGGTTTTAATGGCTGAACCATGTTAATGAAGTGTGGTTTCTCAATCATACGGAAAGGAGAGTTTGTTGCATAAACAAACTGGGCAATTTTTTCATCAATTACCTCTCTTTGTAATCTGTTGGTTCTTATCACAAATTTATCTGTGGTTGTTTCTGGATGATGGAGATCTTTTTCTTTTTGCTACAGGTGATATACTGTGGCTATGTGACATACATGATGTGACTGAAACGCTATCATTGGCTATCCTGAAACTTTAGAAAATGATGGTGATTTTGAAGGTGGATAGTCTTCAGAATCCTGTATGTTGAGGATGGATTCTCCTAAACAAAATAAATCAATGCAGCTATTTAATTATTATTACCGTACTCTGTTAGTATTACTCGTTGCATTAGCTGACACTCAGTACTATTTTAAAGGTGAAATCGTAAAAGGAAGGTTTTCCTATTTCAGCTATTTTTTATCACAACTGCATCTAAAATGATAGTAAAATAGAGTAACAACTATATTTTTGCTCAAACATGAGAATTCAAGACTAGTCCAGAAGGAAGATACGCAGTGCTTAAGAAAGAAGTATGAAATAAAAAAGTTGACCAACCTGAAGATCCTGCATGTTCAGACATGTTGCTTTCATCATCTTCAATGCAGCTTCCTCCTGGGAAGGAACACTTCTCATGAAGTTGTTTCATTCGGGCAACCAGGTCTTGCATTTCTTTGTTGCATTTTGCACACATGCCTGTTTTACCCACAGGTAGAGAACATCATTAAAATATTCCCAAACTGGGTCTCTTTTACAGCCTGCTCCCATTATAGGCTCTCCCTTCTAGTGAGAGAATGGTATGGGAGATCTCAAATCAATGAAGGATACACTCAGAAAGATCTCAAGACTTCTGGAATATGCTGCTCAAACAGTTTCACTTTTGTTTCTACTGCCTGTCCCTCCCTTCTCACATTTATCTCCAGACTTTTTCTCCTTGTCCAGATCTATTCTGCCCCAACAGTCTTCTATTCATTGAAGTTTTTGAAACTTTGCACTTTTAGAGAGAGGTAAGGGATTGACTCTGTGTACACAAATTTGCAGAGGGACAATAGGGTTGAGGTCTGTTATTTCTCACCTCTGTTTATTTATTTACTTATTTAAAACCATTTTTGCTGTTAACAAGCATGTTATCTCTGGAGACACAAATCCACAGTTTGAGAACTGCAAAACTAAGCATCTCTGATGGTATCTTTTAAACTAAGCACTGAATCCCATTGGGTAGATAGAAAGATTAACCTCAATAATCTATACAGAAACCCCTGGAACCACATAAGATTGGGTCCCTAATCCATGAACTATTGGAACTCATTTACAAAACTTTTCTTAAACATTACATGACTATATTGTCTCATACTATAGAATTAGAATTTATAATCCCTATTCCATGATGAGATACGTTATAGCTCAAAGATACCTTAATTAAAACTATCTTTAGATCGGATTTTTTTTGATAAAATGTTTTTTGAGGGAAAAAAACTATTTTATTTTTTTAAAAAAATCATTTATTTTTATCCATCCTGTTAAGTTCTTATCAATCCCTACAAATGCAGTATTGGGTTATTTCCACTTCATAGAGAGTTGAATACTCCAAATTTAACTGGTAGGATAGAATAGTTAATGCTTGATGCACTTGCTCTAACTAAATTTTTCTCCTGGAAATAAGGCAACTATTGATACAATTGATAAACAAAGATGTATGTAGGAGACTCTTTCCCTTGCTGGAAGAAAGGAAGAATTCTTGTGCTTAACACAAAATGAAGTAATACAAAATGTAAAATAAAACATCTGTATGTGATTTCTATTGTACTCAAACTGAAGCAAAGAGCTGAGATAAAAGCTAGAGGTGGAATAAAGAAATTGCACCTTAAAGCATCTACCATGGAATTGTGTATAACATACTAGGAATATGACAGGTTTCAGAGGAACAGCCGTGTTAGTCTGTATTCGCAAAAAGAAAAGGAGTACTTGTAGCACCTTAGAGACTAACCAATTTATTTGAGCATGAGCTTTCGTGAATAGGAATATGTGCAAACAGGGGATGAACTGTAGTGATAGAATGAAAATTCTCCTCTGGATCAATGGCTAGTTTTCATGGGTCCTCTTCCTGAAGATGATTCTGCTATTTTCTTCTTGTGCAATTTTATACATAAAAATTGGATAGAAATCCGAGGACAATTTAATACAGGCTAGCTGGTTGCATTGAAGCTAAGGCTACATCTACACTAGAAACTTCAAAGCACTGCTGCGGGAGCGTTTTGAAGTGTGTGTGTGTGTGTGGTCCTGCGTGAGTGCTGGGAGAGAGCTCTCCCAGTGTTACTGGTAACCCACCTCCTTGAGGGGAATAGCTCTGAGTGCTGGGAGTCTGTCCACACTAGCACTTTAAAGCACTCAAACTTGCTTTTCACCCCCCTGAGCCAGCAAGTTAGAGCGCTGTAAAATGTAAGTGTAGACAAGCCGTTAGACTGATTCCTGGGGGTTAACATTGACTGAGTACATAGGTTAACTCCTTTCACTTCTATGTCTACACTAGGGAAAAGGTTGAGGTTAGATCAGGGTTAGCTAATGTTTTAGCAAGTCTCAATCTGATCTCAACCTCTCTGTGTAAATTAAACACACCCTAGATGAACTTAACTTGTTCCCCTGAACTCAGTGTAGTTGTAGCTGTAGCTGTGTCGGTCTCAAGATATTAGAGACAAAAGGAGTGTGAGGTAATGTTTGTTGTTGGACCAAATTCTGTTGAGCGGGAGAGAGACAAGCTTTCGAGCCACATAGAGCTCTTCTGCAGGTCTGGGAAAGGTACTCCACGTGTTGCAGCTAAATGCAAGGTGGAACAGGTCGTTTAGTGTAAGTAGTTAGCACGTTCTAAGGGACCGTTTTAAAGTAGAGTGGCCCCGTTAACACCTCTGCAGTCACAGGACCAAAAATGGGATTAGTGGGTTACAGATTGTTGTAATAAGCCATAAATCCAGTTTGTTCAGTCCATGATTTTTAGTGTCTAGCAGAGTTATGAATTTAAGATCCCAGGCTCATCTTTTGCAAGTGTTTGTGCAGGTTTCCTTTGATAGGTCAGATATAGAGTGATTGATCACATTGTGAAAAGTGTTCACCCACAGGTGATAGGGTGTTTGTCTTATTTTCCTGTCTGAGTTCATTCGAGAGTGTACGGATTGATTTCACCCACATGGTGGTGGTTGGGGCATTTAGTGTACTGGATGAGGTATACCACATGTTGTGATAGGCGTGTGTAGGATCCATGGGTCTTGAAAGATAATGTTGGGGGGTGGGTGTTGATCTTTTTAGCTGTGGACCTATGTCTGCAGATATTGCATCTGTTCTGGCAGGGGATGGTGCCGCTTTGAGTTGGTATGTTGTGGTCTGTGGGGAGCTTGCTTCTGATGAGCTTGGAGAGTTTGGGGGGTTGTTTGAATGCCAGAATAGGGGTTCAGGAGATTTCTTTCAGGATGGGATCCCCACTGAGTATGGGTTGTAGTAGGATACCCCATATGGGTTCCAGTATGGGGTAGTAGGCGATACTAGGGGGTTTATTTCTGTATTGAAGCAGGTTATCTCCTGGGTATTTAGGTGGCCCATTCCATGATGCAATCTACTTCTCTGGTGGAAAATCCTTGTTTGGTGAAGGCAGTTTTAAGTGTGTTAAGGTGTATATCCCGGACTTTCTCCTCCAAGCATATTCTGTGGTATCTGAGTGTCTGGCTGTAGATAACGGATTTCTTGGTGTATTAAGGGTGGTCATTGGATCTATGAAGGTAGGTGTGGTGATCTGTGGGTTTCTTGTGTGGTTGTCTGTAGGATTCCCTTGCTGAAGCTGGTTGGTATTTAGGAAGTTGATACTAATGTGGGAGTGTTCCAGAAAGAGTTTAATGGACATTTGGTGGTGGTTGAAGCCGTGGTGGGAAATCTATAAGGGAGTTTAAGCCATCTGTCCAGAAGATGAGAAGATCCTTAATTTTTATGTCATCGGTTTCGTGGTACATTTGTCAAGACATTTTTCTTCAAGGTAGCCCGTGAAGGGGTTGGCATATTGGGGAGCCATCCTAGTACCCAGGGCTGCTCCCATGGTTTGGAGAAAGTGTTTGTTTGTTGAATGTAAAATTGATATGGGTGAGGATGGAATGAATGAGTTTGGCGATGTGTTTGGGGTGGATATCTAAGGGTTGTCCATTGTCTTGTAAATATTTGAGGTAGGCAGCTATGCCGTCATTGTGAGGGATGTTGCATAGGGAAATGACATCCATGGTGGTGAGGATGGTGTTCTGAGGGCGGTTGTTAATGTTGTGGAGTAAGTCTGTGTGTCGAGGAAGCTGGTCTTTTGTTTGAGTGGTTTGAGGATGGTTTATGAGTCCCAGTATTCCTTCAGTAAGAGTGTTGTGACCAGATATGATGGATCTGTCTGGATTCCCTTGTTTGTGTATCTTAGAAAGGATGTAGAAGCTCCCTGGGGTGAGTTCCTGGGGATGAAGTTGTAGAGTTTCTCTTGAAGTTGTTTGGGGAAGGATTTGAAGATATCCCTAAGTTCCCGGGTAAATCATGGTGTGGGGTCGTCTTTCAGTTCTTTATAGTAGGTGGTGCTGGAGAGTTGTCAGTTGGCCTCATCAATGACCTCATGGTTGAGGACTACCATGGCACCGCCTTCATCTGCTGGCTTGATCTCTATCTTGTGGTTAGATTTTACGGACTTTATGGGTGTCCTCTTAGTAATGGAGAGATTACGGTGGATGTGATGTTAAGGATTTTTGCAATCAATGTAATGATCACGAGTGCAGTTTCATCCGCTCTGTGGTGCCCACTCAGATCATTTTTTTTCTTATGATTGTTGGTGGGGATGTGGTCATTGTGAGTGGTGTCATTGTTGTGAAAGAATTCTTTGAGGCAGAGACGGTAGAAGAAGAGGACCTGAAGAAGAGTTCTGCGTGGCTCAAAAGTTGTCTCTCCCCAACAGAAGGTGATCAAATTAAAAAAAAAAAAAAAAAATTACCTCACTCACTTTGTGTCTCTGTTCCCGTGAATATCAGATAACTTAAAATTCTACCAATTTATTTGAGCATAAGCTTTCGTGAGCTACAGCTCACTTTATCGGTTGCATACTGTGGAAAGTGTAGAAGATCTTTTATACACACAAAGCATGAAAAAATACCTCCCCCACCCCACTCTCCTGCTGGTAATACTTATCTAAAGTGACCATTCTCCTTACAATGTGTATGATAATCAAGCCATTTCCAGCACAAATCCAGGGTTTAACAAGAACGTCTGGGGGGAGTAGGAAAAAACAAGGGGAAACAGGTTACCTTGCATAATGACTTAGCCACTCCCAGTCTCTATTCAAGCCTAAGTTAATTGTATCCAATTTGCAAATGAATTCCAATTTAGCAGTCTCTCGCTGGAGTCTGGATTTGAAGGTTTTTTTGTTGTAATATTGCAACTTTCATGTCTGTAATCGCGTGACCAGAGAGATTGAAGTGTTCTCCAACTGGTTTATGAACGTTATAATTCTTGACATCTGATTTGTGTCCATTTATTCTTTTACGTAGAGACTGTCCAGTTTGACCAATGCACATGGCAGAGGGGCATTGCTGGCACATGATGGCATATATCACATTGGTGGATGTGCAGGTGAACGAGCCTCTGATAGCGTGGCTGATGTTATTAAGCCCTGTGATGGTGTCCCCTGAATAGAT